CTACCTTTCTGATGGTTGCTTCGTCCTTTAACTCGAAAGGAAAGAATAGAATTTGACCGTATTCACCAGGAATCTTATGCTCTTTCATATAGTACGGATCCTGCCTAAAGGTGATTAATGTTGAAGGCTGGTGAAGCAAAAATGTACTGAAACCTTCGTCAATTCCAAACGTTTGAGAAGGAGGTCACAGTAGAAATACATTACCTGTAAGGAATGATGAGCTGATCTCCTTGCTTCGCTAGTCTGTTTATAACAGGGAGACCCATAAATCCAGAAGTACCGAACACCGTGATGACATTTCCGGAGAAAGAAGCTCTGAAAAATGTGGCAGGATAGTGGATATGCTACAACTCAATGGACGAAATTGAGAAGATAGAAATTAAAAAGACAATCAAACTGTATTTCTTCAGAAAAAAAAAACAAGAAGAGTGCATGGAGGACTCTTTCTATAGAAGACGCACCTTCCACCAGTCCCCTTTCTGAATTGAGTTGTAGAGGTAATCCGGGTCTCGGGAAGATCGTGCTGTGGGGTTGTGGCCGGTGTTGTGGATTGGGCGTGCGTTTGGGCAACGATCAGCACCGCCGGCCGACAAGCCGATGAGCTCGATCGCCCCAGTAGAGACAGCATAACGTCTGAAACAAGATCAGTAACATACTGACACACGTATAGGCGGAAGTCTAGCAAAAGCGACAACAACTTCTTCAGCACCTAAAGCAAGGTTCTGTTCAGTGATTATCCTTCCCGTTCGAAAATCCCCGGTGCTAGCAGATTTGGGGGCTGCGCGGCGACTCGACGGCAAGCGCCCACTAAGCATGGGAAGGGAAAATTCGTCCATCACGTAAGTCATTTTCATTTTCCCAGAGGCGGGGGAACGCCTGGGAAAACGAAAATGACTTACGCACTCCGTAGTCAACGTCGACCGTCCTTGAGGCTTACAATAAGCCTTGAAATGGAGGGTAATTTTATTCATGACAATTGTTTTCGCATCATTTCCGCATGGCTCCCTCACTTCGTTCAACGCTCTCGCTGATCGTGAGAAGCGAGATGAACAGAGCGTCACATCACTTTTGAGGCAAAAATTCATAATTCTGAATGTTTGCAATAAAAATGTTCCTAGTTGTCTGAGTGCGCTGGAATAACCGCGCAAAAATGTCCGGGTGTGGGTCGTTAAAATAGAATGCGACTTTTTCGCTTTTCAGAGCGCGCTTTTGTTGGTTGTGGTAACTACTGGGCTACCCCGATCATTACTGGGCCAAGGGTTCCTGCACTGAAAAAAAGTTCGTGCTACGAAAAGCGAAAAGTCACTTTTTTTTGTTCTAGCGCAGACCAGAAATGTCCCTTTACCGCACCGCGTAGAAATCAGCCCCCATTTTCCTGTTTGTTTTTACTTATCGCTTATATTTTCTCACTTTTAATTATGCGTCTCTTGTGACCTGTGTCCATCTCAGTTCAACAATAAACTATGAGTTAAGTAAGACAAGATCGCACAGGTCAAAAACAGGCTACGCTTGGTCAGATCTGAACCCTGCAATATGTACAATAATACTCCCGACTATTTCACAACAACTCCGATTGTGCTAACTTAGTTGAGGGGAGGGGGCACGCGGCGGCACGGCAGTCTGCTCACCTGGGCTCTCTCGAGCGAGACAGTGTAAACTCGAACATTCCAGCTTTTCACGCATGTCAAGTGACTGCCCCCACCCCCCTAGGCTGCTATTATCTACTCGCTCGATCGCTCGCCTCTGGTCCGCGGATTTCGCAAAATCAATAACCATTATAAAGTACACGACTAAAGGAGCAAGCTGAAATGTGATATACATTATTCAGACTTTGTTGTTGCCTAGTATGATATCATCTTTCATTTTCCTATTACAGGCGGAGAAACTTCACAAATTCCTTCCTTCGGTCACAAAAAACGACGACTTTCCGGATTTCGTCTATAAACCGACTGACAATCCAAATTTTGCTCTCGTATTGCTTGAATACGTCTGCATCGGGTGGTTCACGTTCGAGTACATAATAAGGTCAGTTTCCTGTCTTTCATACACTTCTGCTATCCGAACTTTCTTCTTCATATGGTTCTCTCAAACTTTTGTCGGGTGTAGTTCTTCTGCCACGGCTTTCTTATGATCTTGGCTTCATGCATCGGCTACACGCAAACCGGAAACAGTCGACTTCAGGTCGTTCTAAGCTCCATGTTCTGGCCGATCACTTGAACGGTATGAACGAGCGAGCCTCAGTTTCGGAATCAAGGTCAGAAGACTGTCATTGAACATCACCTGTATCACCTGTCGTCCCGTTGATCATCGAATTGCTCGAGCGGGCGCCAGCAACGTCTCCATTCGTCCCTGTCGCGTGCAAGAGTTGTCCAGTGGACCCTCCTCGCTCGAGGGACACGAAGTCCTTCATTCCTTTCGTTCAGAGCTTTCGTGAAGAAGTCTGACCATCGGGCCGGCGGTCGTCCAGGTGTTCGTTTGACGTCCCGAGGGATCCAGTCGGTAACCGCTCTGGTCCAACGGTCATCGCAAAATCGCATGACGTGTCCGGCCCACCTTATCTTCGATTCCTTGGCGAAAACGGCAGCGTCCCTGATCTTCGATCGTTGGCGTAGTTCGGAGCTCGTTGAACATAACCGTACTAAACCAGGTTGGTCATCGTAAGTGCTTTTATGAGCCGATAACTTCCGCACGGAGTGAACAGTCTAATGGATGTTCTTAGGGTTTATTTGGGATTCGAGGGAGGCAATCGCATTTGAAGCAAAGAGTTGTATTTCTGGATTGGATTTCCAGAAATTTCCGAAATTGTGCTCTTCCAGCGGTTTCTACTCCATCTCTCCTCTTGTTCGACCCCATCGCAATTTTGGAGGTAGATTCGAGAGTTTGTCGAATAATCTGCCCTCAAAACTTCGAAAGGGAGTCGAACGAGAGGAGAAATGGAGTAGAAGACTGCTGGAAGATGAACCTGATTCAACGACGCTAAGAAATCCGTGAACCGCTGGTGAGATCGTGTGGGTAGGCCGTCCCGAGAGAGGTTCTAATTTCAGAACTCTTTCGAACGTGACACGTGGTTGGGCATGCTGGTGCGTCAAGTTGAAGGTGCGGACGTACCATGGAAGCAACTGCTGTAACATCAATTATCCCTTGCAGGGGGTGGCTTCGGTTTCACTCTAATTGTGAAGCGTTGATGACTTCTTGCTGGCTATGG